GTTGTGTTTAATCTCCATGGCAAGTATCTGTGAATAGCAGCTCTTGCAACAGGACATAAATCTCAATCATCTTTCATCACTTTTCCTAGTTATAAGCACGATTACTAGAATGTATTTGAGAGTCACAAATCCAAGCAAATGAAATAGTTTCTTTAAACATATGTGTAGTCTTTTCCATTCAATTCAGCTCAGAAGTGAATTCCTCACATAAAGACGTGTCTCAGAGTGCCTTGTCAGGAGCCCTCTGTGAAACAAGGCAAACCCTTTACAGCATGCTGCTGTGCTTCCAGTAGTGAAATAGTTAATACCAGTCCCATAAAAGCAAAGTGAGTCACCTTCTTTTAGTGAGACTCTTTGGTTTTGTCTTTCAAATATAAGACCTGTTGCTGTTGGAATACTTTGCTTTTGAGGCTCTGGTTAGCTTTGTGGCAGGCAGCTAGTGACCTTTTAGCTACATTTGATACCATTTCTACGACTTTGAGAGAAAGTGTTTACCAGGAAGAAAGACATTTGGAAACTCTGTATTGACACCAATTCATTTCAACCACTGCTACAAAGCATAGCTGGGTTTGAATCAGAATCTCAATGATCTCAGGTGATGATAATTGCTTTGTGGTGATGTAGTTTGGTTAGATGAAGAGATATTCCTCCTCTCACTGCACCCACCAGCCACGGTCAGGCTTAGCCTCTGCCTACAAATGATTGCATCACATTAGATGTTTTAGCTTCTTTGCCTCCGCTATTGATATGACAGTATTCCTGAGGGAAAAAAAACCTTTTACTATTATTAGTTAGTGCCTTGACCCTGAAACTTCTGTTGTCAGCCCCTTAAGGATGGAGAGCATATGAAAATGCTGCCATGCTGCTGGTCTTGTGTGACGATGAGGTGATCAAACATGTTTAAGCTCCTTGATAGAGATGCTACCCACACAGAATCCGTGGTCTATAAAAGGAATTACAAAAACCCATCTGAGATGTAATGTAATGAAAACATGAATAATTTTATATCCTTCCATGAATCCTGGCCTCAACTTTGCTGATTTCTACAGATGCCAGAATGACACTTTTGATACACTCCAAGTAAAACATTCAATGGATGGCCTTAACTTTATGTTCAAAATGTCATGAATATAAAACTGGCAATTCAGGTTTCATGTGTTTTGCAGATTTTTAACCCCAGGAAATACTCAGAAATACAGGACTGACTGTCACTTTGGTTATGTAGGTGAATCAGCAATGGTTTCCTTGGGGTTTTATGGGACTGAAGAGAGATCTTTTGTGTCAGCTTCCTAACAGGGGGTTCCCATTGACATAGAGCAGCACAGGACTGCTCCCCCACAACCTCGGTACATAACCAGGCTGGGCAAAATCACTTAAATAAAGTGTAGAAAACAAAATGAAACAGAACAAAACGAAAGACTGGAAACATTTCAGACAACAAATCTTCAGTGCCTGAAACAAGTCAACAAACCTGCTAGGGAATAAAAAACCAAACCAACCCCACAACCCAAGAGAAATATCTCAAACTAATTTCTCAGCAAAAGATTCCAGAAGATCATTTTTCCACAGTGGTTTCCAAGTCAAAAACAAGATTTACTGTCACTGCTCCTACAGAAGTTTTCACTGAGAAGTGGTAACCTATTCCAGAGACAAAATGTTCAAAACTAGACAACACTTTCAAAGGGAAATAAAGCTGCTTTTTTTTCCTCAGAAGTCCTGCTAGTTGCCAGTATTGACACAAAACTCACTCTTGACCGGGCTCCTGAATGCTCAGCAAGCTCAGCAGGGTGGTGTAGTTGTTTTGTTTATTTATAAGCGTGGCAAGTTTCCTACTGTAGCAGCTACCACATTTAAATGATCTTGGCAAGAGCAAAGCATACAGGATACGTTCTGAAGAAGGACCATGTGATTGCCTGGCAGGCAATTTCCTCTTTTTTTTCAAGACCAAAACACATCTTTTCAGCCTCTGCTAAGTGTTACTATTTCTGAGGACATTTGAAGCAGGTAAAATGGTAGGAGTGCTAGAAGGGAGACAAACAAGTAGTCCAGAAAAAAGCCTCACACTGACCTTGAGGCAGAATATTGAGGGCTCTCCGGACAGGTTTTTCTTTCCTCAGTACAACCACTTGTGGCAAATAAATAAATTACTTAGAATTTCTGCAAGGTATTTTAAAAGTCTTATTATTTTAGCATCCCAGAAAGCCAAAGAGGAAGTCTTTTTAGAGTTAAGGAGCATTTTCCTGGATCCATAGTAAGTCTACAGGCAGAACATTGGCATCTAAATTTATCTGAATTGACCTTTGGAGGAAGCAGGAATGTCTTTCAAGCCAACTATATATAAATGAAACACCTAGTTATGCAAGGAGCCAGAAAAAAAACAGATCCAAGTTATCTGGAAAGTTTACAGCATTCAAAGTCCTTCTTGCTAAGAGAGTCTGTAAGGCTGGGAGTGACAAATGGTCCTAGAAAGCACAGCGGTGCTGAAGCACCAGGTAATGGATCTTCAAGTGAACACTTATAAGAAATCTTCATCACAGGTTTTAATGATTTCTTTGGCATTTCCTCTGTTTTCTAGGCAAAAAGTCAAGGGGGTTTGTATGGGATTGCATGTTGCTATGGAAGTTACAAAGGTTTCAGCCTCTGTCTTACTGCAAGCATTTGGAGTTGTTTTTCCCCCTTCCCTATTTCCCTCTTCTTCATGCTACTCAGTGCCTCAAAAGAGCAAAGCATAGTTGTAATCAACTGATGTCCACTAGCAAATTCAGCAGGTTAAATGCACAGTGCTTTTGTGTAGGCCAAACATCTCACACTGCTGTTCAGCTCTTCCCTCTCCACCCTGCTGTCTCATTTCCTGACACAGAGGAAAGTGTAAGTTCTGCAGTGCTTGGGGAACGTTTGTCCCTGAATTGTGTTATTTGAGCTGATGGAGGAAGCAAACCCTGCAGTGTTGAATCTTCTCTAACTGTGCCCTTCTGGCCAATGCTTCTCATCTGCACAAGTAGAGCTTAACTTGAGTGCCTGCACTGAGGTGGTCTCTGTGGCAGATTCATCCTGGCAACTTGTAGCTTTAAAACCTGAAGTCCACAGTTTTTATATCACCCAGCATCACTCAGCAGCTCATGCTGACCATGAATTAGCTATTTCATACGATTATGATGGGAAATTACAATTAGAAAGTAATGAATAGGTTGATTTCAAAGTCCATCTAAACAGTGTAGTGTAAATTCATGCTATTCCTTGATCGCTGCATTGATCATGTATGATTTTGGGATGAAATTAACTAGTGAAATTGCTTTAAAAACCTCAACACGCAAATGTTAGCCACAGACCCACTTCAAAATAATGTGATTTTTAAGTTTGCTCTACACATCTCATGCAAAGGACAGTTCTGAAATCATGCTTCACCCCCCCAGACTGGGAGTTAAACTACAAAGCCAGTGTAAGCCAGCTAGTTTCTGGTATCTATATGCAATAAGAAAGTGCAATCAGAATGTGCATTTTGGGATCCTGCTGACTACAAACCACTTCAAAAACTGATCCTCAAATGAAATGCTATCTAGCAACCAATTCAACAGCTGTTGAAATTCAGCCATTACTGTAACAAAGGACAACAATTGCTTACAGGACCTTAACGCAAAATGATGTTAAACACAGCCAGAAGTACAGCATCAAATGCAACCAGATGAAAATTGTAAATTTTCACAGTGTTAGAACTTGCTCTTAAAGTTATCTAGATTGCTAAATATTTTGTCTACTCTGAGATATTTTTAAGGTGTTGAGGAACAATTAAAATCAAGCCAAAATAAAGTTCTTCTGTTAGCATGCTCTAGCTGTTAGAAATACAATTTATTTTCCCCTACCAGAGTTTTGGGAAGTCTCAAGGTGATATAATTTTGGAGACAAAAAGGAAAAGTCATGAAAAAACCAAACTTCTCCATTCCTGCTTTATTTCACTTTGTAAAACCTCTCAGCTAAAATTGTTCCCATGCTGTGAAAAATCATGCACCATTCACAGCTGCTCAGTAAGCAAACCTGTTTTATGTACTTGTGAATTAATATAATCAGTAATTATTACACTGAAATTAGAAAAAGATACAGGTATCAGTGTTTGATAATGGTTTGTAAATCTACAATTTACAGTCCCAATAAGCACTGAAATGGTGGATAACCCTTGGGTCATCTGTGTACTGTTACTAGTAAATTGTACCAAAAGTTCATTTGTTTGCAAGGACTATTTTTATAAGCATTTGTTTTTTCATTCATTTATCTTCAGCCTCATTAAAAATTAGCATATTGAGCAGCTAAAATGGAATTAAGGTTGGTCAGTTGTATTCCTGACTTCAACAATTATCCAGAATCTGAACCTGACATTGCCCAGACTCGATACGGTATCACAGCTAGACTGAGTGACACACAGCCAGAGAGATGTGCATCACTAAAAACCAGCCTTTCCCTGTGGAGCCACCTTTTTGCTGCACTCACAAGCAATTTGTGATGGAATAACCAGAAGCCAGATCCTGATTTCAATTACAGTGGTCTAATTTACCTGTCATCAAAGCAGTGACCTTAGGTTTACCTCACTGTAATGGAGAGCAGAGTCTTGACTAAATAGTCCATATATGCACACATAAAAATGTAATACGACTAGTAAGTGAGAACAAGACTAACATCTTAATATGTTTATTTCCACTTGTAGCTTGCATGGTAAATTTATTGCAATGATAACTGTTTTTTTCTCATGTACTTCCTTATTTTCACCTTTGTTCTTCAGGAGGGTTATTGATTTCTCTCCTCTTCAAATGCTGTATGATCTGGCAAGTCAACGGGGAACCATTTCACTGGTGAGGAGTGGATCAGGATACAATCCTGAACAGCAGAACTAAAGAAATGCCATTTTTGGGTGAGCCTGTTGTTGCACCAGCAGTGCTGATGTATGTAAAGAACCCCAAAGCCCCTTTGTGGCGTGATGTCAAAGGCAGTTGGTGTGAAGAAGTGCCTACCTGAAGACGGCAAGGCTGAGAGACCAGAGCACTAGCGGTTTCCTCAGTTCAAATTTTGCTCGTTTGTTCATTAGGTGCCGACCACCAAATATAAAGGCAGCATACAGAGCTGAAAACAGGAACGATTTCTTCCTGCAAAACAAAACCAAAAAACACCTGTCAAGTGTTGAATTAGTATTAGGTACACAGCAGAATCACATATGGACATCACCGCTAAGGGCTTTTGTATTTCCTCAAAAGAAAACTCTTTTGAAGACGTTCCTGCATCCCAGCTGAGTTTATAATTTCTGTATGAATCTACATGCCTACACATAGAGTCAGGGCCAGGTGCAGGCAAAACTGACCCTGGGGAAGTTCTGAAAAAGAACACCCAAATTTGGCTTCCATTCTTCCCCAGTTTCTAAAGACTGAACTTCTGTGAGGAATAGAATAGATACTGCAGAGCCCAGACACACTTCTACAAGTCCAACATGGCCGATACTTGAACCACCTGATCACATTTTGTGCCTCATTTATCTTTTTCATATAAATTCTTGTTTCCTGCAGGATCCTTGCTACCTGGCAATTTAGTGTCCAAGAAGACACTTAAAGATCATGAGCACTGCAACACAACATCATGAGCCTCATGAAAAGCAGAGAACCAGCAAGGAGAGGTCAATAGCCCCATAAAGCAGCAGTGATCATGCTGGGTAGCATTGCCCTGCGGCAAAAAGCCCTGCCTGTGAGTGCCAGTTCAGGAAATCCAGTGCACTTGATGAAACGTCAGGCAGGGTTTTGTTAAGGAACTCCAATGATACTATTCAAATTGCAAGTTTTATTTTTAAAACTGCCTGATAGTAGTCCAGCTCAGCAATAATCACCAAACATTTGAACTCTGCTGCTATAACTCATTGTAAATCAACCAGTAGAGGTCAAAAATAGATTCGGCCTGGGATTCCTTCCCACACAGCACAGTATTACACTGACTAAGACATAATTTATGTACAGCATTAATGGTAGCCTAACTGGATGGGCATCTATTCAAGCACAGAATTTTCTCCACAAAATCTATAATTACATTCACAAATATCAATGGACTACGATTTTGCACCAGAAGGTTCTGGTCCTTTCTGGACCCCAAAAAGAAAATGACAAACACTCTCAAGAAAGGTAACTACTTCATTAACATCCCAGAAAAGGCATCAGCAAGGTACAAGACCTTTTGTTCCTTCTGATGCTGGAACCCCAAGATACAGGAGTAGCACACAGACCTGTGATCAGGTCATGGCATGCTGCCCATGCTTCCTGTTGGTGGCGAGGCTCACCCACATTGTGGTCTTGAGATTTTTTATAGGATTTTCAACTGGATGTTTAAATGAAAGTGTGTTGCTTCACCTCAAGACAAAGACAAGTATATGCTGCGGTGTCACTACTGGTACCAAGTAGGTGCCAGCTCCAGGCTCTTCCATTATGATTAGCCAGCTGAGGGTACCCCACAGCCAGTAACACATATAGCACAGCACAGTCCTGAAGGCCAAGCAATACGTGCAGCACAGTGTGGCACAACACAGCGTGTGCCTGCGCCTGCTCAAGGGAACTGGTATATGGAACACAAGACCCTTGATGGACATGGGTCTTCCTGCAAGGTTCAGAAAAACACATCTCTTTGGAAATACAAAGAAAGCACATGAGACTTCACTCGAGAGAAATGAATTTTATATAAGTTTGAAAACTAAGTAAAAACTAAGCCCAAGGAGACTGAGGCATACCAATATGGATTCAGCAGCATGTCATTTTCTGCCCAGTTAGAAACTCCTCAGTTTCTGCTGATGTGTTTATAGCTCTGTGTTGCAAGACAAAGGTAACTGCATGAAAATCTACCCAGTCCTCTGCACTGAGAAGGGAGGACCTGGTGCCTGTGGCTTCCTGGGTGAGCTTTAGCATTCATGCTGGCAAATTCCTCAGAAAGACCAGGACAACCACAGGTCCAGCAACCTCTCACCTTGCACATTGAGAGAGTCTAATTGCTATGGCAATGGTTATTACAACCAGATTCTGAAAACCACAAAGCCCTTATTCATCTCATAATACAGAAAAAACCCCATTCATTTTCACTTCTCTGGGCTTGGATTTCACAGTCAGGGAAGGGGCAGAATCACCACATTTGATCTGTATGATTGCAGTTTAGCTTGTCTGGACATCAGTAAATACTTGTTAACTAGTCCGGGTAATGATGAACCACCTCAAACCTGCTGGTATTGAACCGCCTAACTGTTTAGATAGCATTTATGGGTTACAAGATAGAAGCAGGCTGTCAGTGTGAGGATGGACTGCATTCTCAGCTCCTTCCCTCTGCAATTTTATCAGCAGCAGTGTGCAGAGCAGGCCATTGTCAACCTGGGCATGGGCGAAGGAAGGCAAAGGGAGTCTGATGGGCTGTACCCGCAGTCTGCAGTCCTGTCCTGGTTGCCCCTGGGCATCAGGAGAGATGTCTGCTCTGCATGCTTCTGCCCCTTAAATCCCCAAAAAATGTGGGCTTACAGTCAATGCAGACAGACAGCAATGCACATGACAAGGTATGGAGATATGCATACACACGTACAGCCACTTGAGCCAGGTCACAAGTAGGGGTCCCACAGGAGGGACCCTGCAGCCCCACGCCATGAGGGAGGTGTAAACCCCCCACCTCACAACACTGCAGTGGGAGTCCCTCATGCCAGAGGCATGATTCATGCATGCAGCTCCAAAGCAACCAAGAGCAGTGAAGGATGCCAGCTCGAGTAGTGCAGGATGACATCTTGAGGAGAGCAGGGGAAAAGACTGCAATACAGTGCTGCCATGCAACTGCCAACAGGGAATAGGCTAAACAAGCTGGGATGGGAGGGCATCAGGATTCAAGAGGAGTAGCTAGAGATAACTTTGCAGGAAGGCAGGCAAGAAGCAATTCATTTCTGGATCATATACAGCCAAGACTTCAACGTAATGGTTTGATTTCAGTTCTAGTTCAAGAAAAAAAGACCAGTTTGATTGAGTTAGTAGCTCAGGTCTGTTAGTTAGTAGCTCTGTGTTCTGTTTGACTTCCTTCTTCCTGAGTCAGCCAGATAATCTATATATTTACAGCAAGTAACATTTCATTTTGCTTCTTATTACTGAAACTTTTTTTGTGAGTTTAGTCAGTTTATTGAGGTCAATAGTTACATTACACTAATTTGAACAGATGAATTTTAGATCACTTTTAACAGTTTTGTAATGAGTTCAGCATTATTTACAATGATGGTAAATTGTATTCCCCCAGTATACAGCTTTGTATCAGCAGTGGCAGACATTTCACTGCATGCATGATCTGAACCACTGAGAGCAGCTTCAGAGTAAGCAGTTTCAGACAAGGAGGGACACAGTAGTATTATCTCCATCCCTCTGTTTTGACAACTGCTGATAACTTTTGCTAACTTTTAGCATTCAAAGGACTTTGAATTTTCCCCTCTTTGCAGCATAAAAATGGTTGAAAGAACTGGGCAGGCCAGGTAATAGAGTTACAAAGGGGTTGTAGAGGTATGCACTCTCAAGATATCTGATTAACTGCATTAGACTGGTATTAACCAGTTTCCTACCAGAGTTTTTATGATTGATTTTCCCAAAGGTTCATGACTATACTCTGGTTCCTGGGCTGATGACACAAAGCAGTGGCGATCTGGCAGCACTGAGTTATATCTGATAAGATTTTAGCCAAAGGAGAGTAATGTCAAACAAGCATTTTGAAAGACAGAGGTTTGGAGTTGTTCTGGAGCACTGTAAATTTTCATTTCTATTATTTGAAGAGAAACTAAATAGAGCAGAACAATGACAAAAAAATTAACCTTGAGACTAAAAGAATAAAATCCCCCAAAGTAATTCAGTAGCAGACTCGCATCCAGTAACTTCACTGTTAGCACATTCATACATTTGTCTTCAATTCTGTTCTGTAGGGTAACACAGTAGACATAAAGACAGGGCTGCCAAATCCTCCACATTTTTCTGGCATTTCTGCTTCTCACAGTTGTCTCCCACCTTCCTACATTTTCAGACTTCAGGGACTAAGTACTATCTCTACTGAATACAACTCTGTGTTTCCCTGATGAAAGTTGCCAGCTCTTTCCCCCTTTACAGGTTTCTGGAGAACTTATAAAAGGCTCTACTTGGGCTGCGGGTTACTACTAGAAAGGGAGGCAAGAGCCTGGGGCTACAGGCTGAAGATAAGAGACAGATCTTCCAGGTCAGTAGCACAAAGGTGGCTGTATCATGAGGCAAAGGGACAGGCAGAAGCAGCTGACCTGATGGGAGAAAGAAGAGGAAGGACAAATGGCAAGCATGGCAGCAAATGAGGGCAGATGGCAGCCATGATATAGATGTGAAGCTGGGACAGCATGGAAGGGAAGGAGGCTTGAAGTCCTTTCTCTGCTGAAGCCTCTGGAAGGATGCTTCCTGCATCCATGGGCACACCTATGGCAGAGAAATCGAGACAGGAAAGAAGAAAAGGAGAAGAAGTATAACTGAGAAGAAGAAGGCTGAAACTGGGGCTGATAAAGTAAGACAGAGGAAACACAACCCACCAGGAACAAAGCTTCTCCTCATTTCCAGACAGGGAGTCCCACCCACGAAAGCCCAGTCAGGCACAAAGGAGTGACAGGGACAGGTCAGCCACCCAAGCCTCAGGCAGGAAAACATAACACTGGTAATAATCCAAAGAGGAAAACAAATGGCTCAGGAGTAAGAAATCCTGACTTCTCCAGCAGCATGTTATTTATAAAATACTGAAAATACAAAAATTACGACAGTATCCTAAAATAAGAGGCCTGAGGGTGAGCCTCATGTGCAGCAGCATGAGACATCCCCGTGCCTCTGATGCAAAGTGAAATAGCCCTGAATATTGCAGTCCTGCTGAAGGAGGTGGTTTCAATCCAGATGCACTGTTGCCATTTTCCCCATGAAAATCGCAGACTGAGTCATTATTGTAGAGTTCTCTGATGTTAATGAGTAAACTGAAACAGACATATGTATATGTTATAAAACTGACTATTTCCATAGGTTTCTCCTTAATAGTTAAGGAAAAAATCCTTATAGAAATGCCCAAAGGATAACCTTATCACAGATCTTTTAACTATCTTCTCTCATGT